TAGAGCAATGTTAGGAATGGAACTCCTAAGATTACTGATTGGCTTAATCCTTTAACCATAATAAATGGTGTATCAATACATTGATGGTTATTACATACAGAGGCGTTGGATAATTTATATTTGATGAATAATCTACTGCCATCTGCTGTATTTAATATTTGAGTAGTTTTATCAAAATATTTAGAAGGTACAAGTCCTTCATTTATACAATTTAGGTCAGCTCCTGAATCTATAAGAGCTGATGTTTCAAAACTATAATTTTGTGCAACTATAATTTTGACTTGAACAAACCATTTTTGTACGACTATTTTATTTATTAAATTGACAGAAGGAAGTGGTATTGTTGGTTCTTCTGAAGACTCTATAGTTTCTATTGGATTGTCTTGTATTAATTCATTGAATTCTACTTCATCTGTCTCAGAATCTTGTTGAGACATTTGTTGTAGTTCTAATATTTGAATTCTTCCTTTTAATTGTACTATTTCAGTTTTTATTTCTTTAATCTCTTTTTTGAGATCAGAGATTGTAGGTTCCTTGTGAGAAGTGTGTTGATCACTTACTCGTTTGATGATAGCAGAGAAATTATATTCATCTGGATTTTTGATAATAGATAATGATTTTTATTTATTTTTTGTAATATTGATAAATTGGGTAATAATAGCTCTTTTCTCATCAGGATCAGTTATTTTATCTATAATGTCTAGAATAAAATTATCTTCCTGTGTAAGTGTATGAACATTATATTGAGGTAATGGACACTTACAATCCTCTGAGGATTCTGTATTTGTTTCAGTGGAAGAACTTTTTGAAATTCTGATGGTGCATTTTTTAAACCGAAAGGCATTACATTCCATTCGTATTGACCAAATGGAACATTAAATGCAGTTTTATATTTATCTTGTTCTTGGATCTGGATTTGCCAGTATCCTGATTTCATATTAAATTTTGAAAATATACATGCTTGAGCAACTCTATCTAATAAATCTTTTTTATTTGGAATTGGGTATCTTATCCATTTTAACACTTTATTTAATGGTTTATAATTTATAACCAGTCGAGGAACTCCTCTTTCTTTTTCAGCATTTTTATTAACATAGAAAGCTGCACAACTCCAAGGTGAAGAACTTGGTCTTATGAGTTTTCTCTGTAGGAGTTCTGCTATTTCTTTTCGACACATTTCCAACAAAACAGTATTCATTTGTATTGGCCTAGCTTTAGTAGGGATTTGATTTTCATTGAAGTTTGATTCATATGGTAAGCTTATACTATGCTTTTTCCTGTCCCAAAAAGCATTAGGATGTTCACTGCATATTGATGTTTCTATTTGTTTTTGTAGTGATTGTATTTTTTGTTGTATGGAAGGAGTTTGTATTTGTTCTTCAATTACTTTATATCTAATTTCCTGCTTAAGTGTGCAGAGAAATTTTTCTTTATCTTTCAATTGGCTTTTGACATTATTTAATTCTTTTAATTTTGGTTTATGTATGAAATTGAAATGTATTGGAATATTTTGAATTGTTGATGAAATTCCTGTTTCATCAATGGTTATAGGATAGAGCAATGTTAGGAATGGAACTCCTAAGATTACTGATTGGCTTAATCCTTTAACCATTTGGTCAATACGAATGGAATGTAATGCCTTTCGGTTTAAAAAATGCACCATCAGAATTTCAAAAAATAATGAATGATGTATTCAACTCTTATTACCATTTCATGATAGTCTATATTGATGATGTCTTAATATTCTCCGAATCTATAGACCAACACATTAAACATATTAATACCTTTATCCATGCTGTAAGCCAAGTTGGCTTAGTAGTTTCTGCCAAAAAGATTACACTTTTCAAAACTAATATCAGGTTTCTAGGACACATGATCCACCATGGCACTATTATCCCAATAGACAGATCTATAGCTTTTGCTGATAAATTTCCTGATAAGATTCTCGATAAAACTGAATTACAAAGGTTTTTAGGATGCCTCAATTATGTTAGTAATTTTTACCCTAATCTTGCATTGGATTCTAAACCATTATATGATAGACTCAAGAAGAATCCTCCTCCTTGGTCCGATATTCATACAAGAGCAATACAGGTAATAAAGAGTAAGGTCAAAACCCTTGAATGCCTCTCTCTTCCACATCCTACTGCTTTTAAAATCATTGAATGTGATGCCTCTGATAAAGGACTTGGTGGCATATTAAAACAACAAATTGATTCCAAAGAACAATTATTACGTTATACATCTAAGGCTTGGAATTCCACTCAATTACATTACTCAATGGTCAAAAAAGAATTATTAGCCATTGTTCATTGTGTCACAAAATTTCAAAGTGATGTTTTAAACCAACATTTTCTCATACGCACTGATTGCAAAGCAGCCAAAGATATTCTGCAAAAAGATGTAAAAAAATTGATTTCTAAACAAATATTTGCCCGATGGCAGGCTATTCTCTCTGCCTTCGACTTCTCTATTGAACATCTTCCCGGGTCTTCTAATTCTTTACCCGATTTTCTGACCCGTGAATTTTTGCAGGGGGGGCAACACTGACGCCAACGACGAATCACCATTATCACTTGCACTACAATTATTCCAAGATAACCTATCTGATAAGGATCTTTCATCCTTAAATATGGGCTCCCGAGGCAATACTCGCCGGGGAAAACAACCCATGCATTCTTTAGTTCCATATGTTCCATATGAAGGGGAACCTTCACCCCTGAATATTCGCTCACCATCTCAATCCCCAGTTCATCAAATAACATACCCAGAAGCACGAACTTCAATTCCTACATTTTCACCAGCCCAGTCCAAATCCACTCTTCCTACCAATACTCCAAGATCAGAATACATTGAAAGAGCCTTTTTAATGGACATTACCATTGATGAACATCAGGTTCACATGGATCCCAGCAAGCTTGCACCATTATACCTACTGAATCATCTTAATCCTATCAATGGGGTTAAGACCCGAGAGTATTACGAAGCCATTCTAATGGAAACATGGTCCATCTCTGTTGTCCACTACTTTCAACAGAATACCCGAATCATAGCCTATTCAAAAGTACAGATAAAGAAACTTCTTTCTTATACTGAGTGGGGTTCTAATCCCGCACAAGGAAAGAAATTACAAAATCCTGAATTTTCTTATAAGTATTTCAAATATGCCGAGTACATAGAAGCTTGGCACAAATTTTTCTATTATCAAAACCCTAACAATACGCATAGCTGGTATTTACAGTTCCGGCTACCAATTTTTGAAAGGTTCCCCACTTGGTTTCAAAACTGCTATGATTTTACCTCCTGCTTTTAAGGAGTTGCAGGAACAATTTATACAATACAATAATATCAATAATTCAGTTGACACTCACCTTTACTTCATGGCCTTGTATCAAATCCCTTGGATTATGAAATGGGATTATACCATATCACCCAATACTTCCAATGATTATACATACATCCCACGTTTGGGAAAAACCATCTCTGTAAAATTGTGGGATATCTTTCAAATGGATCTCACCAAAGCCACTCCAAAAAGAATACCACCTAAAGCACCTATATACCAGGAAAACCCAAATACTCCAAACACTTCTTTTGATTTTCCAACCTACCTTCGAAATATGCTTCAAACCAACCCACATGCCTCCAAGGAAGAACTAGAGAAACAAATGAAAGAAATCTTTGCTGAAGCAGGAAGAAAACCTACATCTTCCGAAGAGACAGTTCAGTCTTCTCCACTGCACACCAATAGGTACCTCCAACTCAGTCAAAAAGATCCAGAAGAAACAGATCCAGAAGAAACGGATCCGGAAGAGGATGATCCAGAAGAATTCAGTCAGAGACCATGAATGCATCATCCATGACATCACCATCCAGAAGCAATAAGCGACAATAGCAAGACATCATATGGGACAAACAAGGGTCCCACTACTGACAGCAAACACTGTACTCTAATTGTAATAAGGCCAAAAGAGCCACTGTGCATAGATGCTTTTACCTTTTTGTTTTTGTCTTTTTGTACAAAGGGCATCCTCTTATGCTCTCACTTTTGTCCACTAGCATCTCTCTCTCTCTCCCTTATCACATGCTGCCGACACCTTGTCCTCTCTCCTTTGTCGCATTCAGCCGACATCCTGTCCTCTCTCCTTTGTCGCATCCTGTCGACACTTTCCCTCTTTTGTCTTCTCTCGCCGACTATGCTTTGCCAGCTGGTCCATCTGAGCTCAAAAGATTCCCTCCAAGCCTTATAAAAGGGAAGGAAGCTCCTCGTCTTAGGCAGGGCCTAACTCTTCCCATCTTCTCCCATCTTCAACCTTCAACCTTCTGAGTCTTCAACCTCAGCCTTCAACCTCAGCCTTCATCCTCAGCCTCAGCTTTCAATCTTAGCCTTTAACCCTGTTACCACGACTGAGCCTCTGCACATGCAACAGACCTCTGAACCTTGAACCAGACCTCTGAACCTTGAACCTCAAACAACCCTGTTATCACAGTCAAACCTCTGCAATCCAATATACCTACATACACCTGTGCTAACCTCTGCAACAATCCATACCGAAGCTATCTTCGCCCTCATAGCTCAATCAGGTTCTCTCTCACCTCACTCTATACTTATGTGTGATTGTAATATCCAAGATTTACCTTCATACTGCCCTCATCACTGGAAGTTATTTTCCAGTTACTGTTTATGTGCTCAGTAAGGCTCCTGTTCTAAATTCCTCTCTGTTAAATTCCGTCCCTCTCTGTTTTATTTCTCTGTTTTTTATTCCCCTATTTTCATGTAATATCTTTCTCTATTTTCATGTAATATCTTTCTTTTCTCTGAGTTATTTCCCTGTAAGCAGATGTGAATATTAATAAAGTATGCCAGTGTGATTTTCTATCTGCTTGATTAGTGTAAATTTATGTCTGCCTGTTATGCAATTTAAAATTTTATTCAATATTAAGATAGGCAACACTAGTTATGCCCAGTGGATAGTACTTGATATCTCAATAGTTCCGTTCATAGGAATCATATTATTCTGTCTAAATTATTATAGAATTTTACAATCATTAATACAGTACAACAGCTTGCTGTTTACATACCTGTTATAATTTCCAATTATAATCTTTCAAATAGACTTGAAAACTTGCAACATAAAATCCAATAAATAAAACGTCGTCAAAATAGACACAAATGACAGTGTTGTAGATCCTGGCGCAAAGTGGTATATATATATATATATATATATCTTTTGCACTTATGTTCTTTTGGACCTCCACGGTTCTTCTCCATCTCTTCTCCCTCTCTTTTTATTATGCAAACTTTGTCTCTCTTGAAACATGATTGTCTTCGTGCCTAATCATATTTATGTTCTCTCTATGTATGTTTGTGTGTATTAGAATCTTGATAGTCATCTCATTTACTTCTCCCTTTTTGTTATACATCTCTCCCTCTTCTCTCTCTCCCCCCCCTTTTTGCAGACTTTCTCTTGTGACAGTCACATCTCCTTCTTCTCTCTCTTTGTTCTTTAAACTCTCTTTTTCCTCAATATACAAGTTCTTGGAAATCTTTCAATGAGATGCAATAGCAACATCAATTACAAAATTTCAATCTTTGTAACTTCAGTTCTGAACCCTCTGCAATACCATCAGAACTTGGACTGCAAATTTTTTTCAAAGACGAGAGATATCTGTTTACTAAATTTCAATAAAAAATCCAATGGTGATACAATTTTGAAAATGCTTGTATGATGATGTTGTAGGTAGTCCAAATAATTAATGCACTCAAACTCTAGAGCACCTTTTGCCAATTTTCATTCACATAATTGTTGTTAAAGTGAAGTCAAGGTAGACTCTAACTCAACATGGCGGAATTTGTCATAGATTCGGTCGAGTCCTAAGAAATAATAATTGAATGTGCACGGGCAAGAATTTGCCGGTTTCCATAATTTTTACTGCGATCTCAACGGCCCGGTTAGTCTCAGCAACTCGGTGGAATCCAAGTTGAACGCACACAGGATCTTAAAATTGGTCTCAACTCTCAAGCATTTTTTTCGGGTGCGGTTTATATAGAGCCGAGGCTCTAAACAATCTAAGTAAAGTGCACCTTCAAAGAGTATTGAGAAATATGGTTTCAATACTAGAAATCTTTGTGATAGCCTTAAAATACATTTTTATCTCTAATTATAAAATTTCAAGTTTCAAAAATAGTATAAATCGAGCAAATATATGAAAACTTGAAAATCTTAAAATTTGACGGTTAAAACATGCATTACAAGATGGCACTATGTTTAAAATTTAAAATCTATTTTTTTTTCTCATGTCCATACATCTCGATGTCGAGATGATCAATTTGAAGATCTTTGATCATCAAAACGACTTCTTCTAGTGAAATTTTTGAGATGGCCTCTAATTTAATTATCTAGAGCCTCGGCTCTATATAAACTTTTTCCCTTTTTTCTCTCTCTCTTTTTGTTTGTCTCTCAACATGTGCGACATTTATGCTATTTCTACATAACGTTTACTTATTATGGGTTATGGATCAATCAGTGAAGTGGGCGCACTCTAAAATAGGGAGAATTAAGAGTTTTCTAATCAACCAAATGAGATGTTGCTTATCAAAAACCTTGAACAATTCATATAGAATCTTAGTCTAAAACTGAACAAAACATTTCACAACTCATCTCTTTTTAAATTCTCATAAAACCCATGACCGACAAATAGAAACCAAGAAAGTCCAAAAATCAACAGAAAAGTACATCCAAAATGGAATAGACTCGTAGCATGTTTTAGGATTTTAGAATAAAAACCCTAAGAAGGCTATATGCATTTTCATACATACACATATTTCATATTTGCCGACCTCAAATAATTGAAAAAAAGGCTATAAAGATGAAGATCTTTTGAGCTCACGTGTATGTACAATACAACAAACTTGAGGAAGGCTGTAGACATTGGTGCACATATGGACATATTAACATTTCTAGCTAGGGAGAGAGAGGGTGTCTAGTAAATGAGATTTAGAGAGATAAAGGCACACAGGTAAGAGAGAGATATGATCACCATGGTCTCTCTTCTTCCTTACCCATGTATCGGCAAATCGCAGCCGCTCCCCGTGGTTGGAAATGTAGGAATCCGGCCGTATAAACCCTAATTCCGTTCCCCACAGAAGAGACACGGAGACGAAAGGCTTGTCTTCCGGCACGATTCCGGCGACAATCTGAGTTTTCCGGAATCTGTACAACGGTCACGTGGCAAGTGTTCTCGAGTCTAGGCGTGGCATGCATGTGAGAGGGAATATCTATCATGAAGTCACCGTATTCATCAGTTTTGCCCCTTACCCGAAAGTGTCTACTCCTCTTTCCACCGTTCGTTTGGCATCGGACAGCCACAGTTGCTCCTGCACATGAAAACCCCACATTGATTATCCATAAAATATGAAATACCCCGAAAAAATGAAGAAAAAAGAAGAAAAAAAAAATGGTTCAATGATGCTACCAAGATAGCTATTTTGGATACATTGTTGAATAAAAAGTTTCCAAGTATAATGGGTGGTTATTATTTTAATCTATTTTTTGCACTTCAAAAATATTAGTACGGATCCTTTGGAAAATTTAAAATTCTACTTTTTTCATGGAGGAATAATTAAATTAAAAATCAAATAACAAAAGCAAGATTTGAAATGAGGTCTTTTCAAAGAGTTTGCCCTTCCAAAATTTCATTTAGAGATGAATTTTGTACTTCTAAAACTTTGTCGGAGGATAATTTTGAGCACCAGAATAATCAGAATAGAATGGAAACTCGAATGCAAAGTGTCATTATTGATTTTTGGAGAAACTAAAAAAAAATATACTTTAAATTATGGATTAGTGGAAATAAATTTCAAATTTTCTAAAACCTCATCCATATCCTTTTTTTTTTTTGGTGGGTAGACGAAAGTAGCTTTCACAATTGTCTTAGAACCGTGAAGTCATCACGGTCTATTGAAAACCGTGAAGGCATCACGGTCTATTGAAAATTGTGATGGTCATAGCGGGTTGTAAGTCGAATGTAGTTTTGAAGCATCATGGCACTTAAAGAATGGTGATGGTTTAGTTCAAATTTAACCATTATTCTCTTACCTAAGCATCACAGCTTTTTAAGTGTCGTGATGCCTTAACAACCACCACAACTTTTCGTGTCATGTTGTCTCTTAACGACCATCACGGCTATTTAAGGGTTGAATGCCTCAAAATCTTAAACAATATTAAACCACCCATGACCATCAAGGTAGTGAGTCTACCGTGATGATTTCACGATTCTAATACTACCATAAAAGCTATTTTGGTAAAAAAAAAAAACACGAAAAGTGAAGAAAAGGGGTATGGATGATCTTTTGAAAAATTTGGGGTTTGTTTCAAATAATCCAAAAATTAAAGTGTATTTTTTATAAATTTTTTGTTTTTTAAAATTTAAATATTTTTTTAAAATTTAAATATTTTTTTAAAATTCATGATTGTGGTAGTCAAAACTACAGATTTCCAGATGAATTTTTGGATGGATGCCATGTTAGCTAACTTACAAAAACCGCAGCCAAAAACAAATGGTGGTGTTTCAAAAAAAAAAAAAGTGTTTGGCGTAAATAGCACACAATATACACTAAATAAGACAAGAATACCCCATACACAGTATTTACCAAATTCCACGTATTTTAGTTTCCTTCAATATACCAAACACCCTATGGTTTTCTCAATACATAAAAAATATCACCTCTAGAATTCACAAGATATCTCGAAATTACATCTTTCGAAAAGAGAAACACTTATTTATCTTGTAAGTTACTTATTTGTATAACTGAAAAGCATTAATTAACCAATCCAAAAAGAAACACAAACAAGTGTTATTTAACACAAAGATAAACCAAAGAGATGGTTAAACCATGTTGAGATTGAAACCATGTTGAGATTGATTAGGCCAGTTAAGCTATATGCCTATATTAAACTCCGGAAGCCATTTCTCATGAGTTACCAGTTAAGCTATATGCCTATATTAAACTTTGGAAGCCATTTCTCATGAGTTACCATTTTATATATGCTATGAAATTTTGAAATATAAATCAAAGAAATGGCTTGCCAGTGAAACATCCCTAATCACCATGATCCATCTAGATAGGCTGTCATTTGGAAAATAAGAAAATTTTCAAGTTTGAAATTACAAGGTGGTTACAATTGGTATTGCCCATTAGACGTCAAATTGAATGACTTGGGGTAGGACACTGTTCGGAAAGAAAAATAAAATAAAATTGAACTTTGAGTCTAATTAATGACATATTCACAATCACCTGATTTGAAATCTGACAGATAAGAATAATTGTGACTTGTACTTAAAGTAAACGGCCTCTTTGTATAATTTCCCTTCAGAAAATTGACCGTATCACAATATTGGAGACAGGTATTTTACATGCCATGTAAGGATTTTGGCAGGCCTACATGACACAAAGGAGGGAGAGAGAGAGAGAGAGGAGGGATAAAAGGAAGGAATTTCCATTTGCACCCTTGATTTTCATGTTCTCACATACAATATAGATGAAAATGACAAGAAATTCTACTCATTTTTTCTGTGAAAAAAAAAAAAAAAGACCATTCCAATATGAAATATGAACAAACCACATAAGCTCCAAGATAATTTTCCTCTTTGAAATTTCGATTATTTGTGAATTAGTATGGATTTATCGTAAAATGAATTCTACGTTACTAATCAGAAAATAATGCAAATTAGCAATAAAAGCAAAGTTATTCCATAGCCGGTTTATTTCTAGTGAAATCTCATTTTATTGTATTTCTTTAGAATAAAGAAAAAGCAAATGATATGAAGGTGGCGAGAGACAGGCCCACACCTGACACGAACGGGCTTTTTCCGGTATCCCGGCATGCATCGCAGGTAACTGTGCCAGTAACCAGTACAGATGAGAGCTTCTCTATCCCATACCCTGCCGTTCGCACTACGTCGGAGCCGGCGAACAGCACAGACGATGCGTCGTCCTCGGAGTAGTCTGCACTTCGGATCGGCTGTGCGGAGGCGAGAAATAGGGCGGTAATCGCCAAAAAGGAGCCTCTACGGACGCTTCTCATAATGGTCGTTTGCTGTGATTTTCTCTGCCTAAAACACCAAGGTTTTCAAGGTTTGTGTTGGTTTTTCTGATAAAGCCTAGCTCTCTTTGTATGGACAACTTACGTTGAAGGATGCTATTACGTTGCTTTGATTATATAAAAAACAAATGTGGGCAAGAGCCCCTACAATTGTACTAAATGATGAAAGTACCCTTGTTTTGAAAATTTCCAGCAATCATTTTGCAAATGAAGTTTTTATCAGAGGTCAAATGACCTTTTGAAATTTCTAATAATCATTTTGCAAATGAAGTTACAAAAGGCAAATGACCCCTTTTTTTTTTTTTCCTTTTTTTTTGAGCAAGTGAGTGGGGAGAAGGCCCCAACTCGAGTTTCATTATTAATGAAAGAAAAATATAGCTCATAGTTTTATAGCCTTGGAATAGGGAAATTGTGCCATGTTTGGAAAGGAGTTGGGGTCGTGGTGGTAATATCCCCATACCCAGTTACCACATCAAGATATCTATTCCTAACGCTGACATCCCTAATTAACACCTTCAAAATATCTTCCCCACTGAATTACCAAAAAGAATAAATCACCTTTGATTATTGCATTTATACAGGAGTTTTGTTTGGAAAATAAGAATCGGATGAATAACGAACCAATTTTATCTATAGATTTCTTTTTTTAATTGTTGCGTTCCTTTCCATTGTTGATTCAATTGGTCATTGACATCTTCATGAGTTAGAGAAGTTCATAGTATTAAAAACGCACATTATATGGAATTAAATATGCTGGAAATTTCTTATGAAATTTGGTAATTTATTACTTTTTTGCGAGGGCCTAGGGGATACTCCTATTGAGCATAATATACACTTATGGAAAATTGTTTGATGCGGCAGGGACCTCATTTCTATATTTGCCCGAGGTATAATGATGGATGCAAATAGATGGCCCATCTAAAAATAATTCAAACTAATAGTCTAAATGTTTTTTCAATAGAATTATTATTTTTATTATTCAAAATTTATTTACTTTTCATATTCATGATCTCCTTGATAGATATTAATGTCTTTAAAAATTAGGTCCAAAAATCCATCTTAAAAATAGATTTTTAAGAAGTGACTCATTTCTACATAGACTCCTAGAAATCGTGTCCTACACTTATTTCCTAAAGTACTATTTAGGAAGATTTTTTCGATTTTAAATTTTGTGTTCTACTTTCAAGCAGCATACGAAAATTTTCACAAAAGAAAGGGCTGAAGTTTGAGCTCCTAAACATTTAGATCTCACCATTCAGATATTGCATGGTCTTTGTTTGATTTCAAGATTTTATACATTTTGAGTGCATATATTTCTTTTCTTTTCTTGTTTTCGTTCGTCTCTTAGTTGAGAAGGTTATATCCCAAAAATTTGAAGTCCCAAAAAATTACTAATACTGTTAGTCAAAAGACTAAATGGCCATTGTGCTCTTGCACGATCACAATCTTTTTTTTCTTTTTTTTTTAATGAGCAAAATGATAAAATGAGGTTTTGGGATGTAAAGCTTGCAGCAATGGGGGTGATCAACAAACAATATTTTGGGCATTCCTGTAATTATTTGGAGAGTCAAGGGTGTTGTTAGGTGAAGGAATGTACAAGGTCAAAACGTGGTGACCGTTGGTGGTTAGCCTACTCTTTCCCCTTAAACTCGTGACCAAACCCTGGTTAAAAACGATGTAGTGAGCGCCACGTGTCCTAATCGTGCAAGGCAAGAAAGACCATCCATCGAACGCATCAGATTAGTTTCTTGCGGATTGAGTGAAATCGAGACCGTCCATCTAGACACTAATAGTATAATATAAATTTGTCCAAGAGTCAAGCCTACCTCCTCTACAATATAACTGAAGATTTAGAAGAGGATGAAAACTAGTTGAGAATATTTTGATTCATGATTTTGGCAGAGCTCAAAATGAGTTTTGGTAAATCTGGTTGTTTGAATTTGGTCCCAGCTTTGGTGACATTTATGAAACTCTCACTTTTGTTCATCAGAAGTAGGAGTTGGGTCCACTAGTTGATATGAATCATGGCTGAAATTCAATGGTAATCCATATGTATGTGAAAGGATTTGTTGAAGAGTGGAAATTTGGGTCCTAACATTTTGAAAATTTTGGGTCTAGCATTTGAAAAAAATTGGGTTTTAATCCCATATACTCTATGGATTGAATTTCGTCCATTATTTGTACTCCTTCAATCAGAATATCCACTTGGGAGGACTTTTTCAATCTCAAATTTTCGGAGTCACTAAATAAATACAAGATGATTATTTTCAAAAGAAATAATTTGAAGTTTTAGTTTTTAAATACTTAGATCTCACTCTCTAAACATTAAACGATCTTTGTTCAATCTTGAGACATTATTTTTTTCAAGCGGAGGATGCAAATTACAAATGTTTTTTTCATTTGGATTAGCCTATGGCTGGAAGATGTTACGTCCCCAAATGTGGGTCATAAAATTAATCCTAGATTGCTTTTTTTTCTAAAAAAATGGACAGTATACTCCCTCGGGGGTATAAAATCTTTGGGCTTCTAGAAAATGAAAGTATCACAATATTTCCCATTTTATTTAAAGGGAAAAGTTTATATAGAGCCGAGGCTCTAAACAATCAAATCTAAGCCTACATCAAACTTTTCACTAGAAGACGTTGTTTTGATACCCAAATATCTTCAAATTGATCATCTCGACATCAAGATGCATGGACATAAGAAAAAAATGGATTTCAAGTTGTGGAAATAGTGTATTTTGTAATGCATTTTTGTACCGTCAATTTTCAAGATTTTCAAGTTTTCATAGATATGTGGATCCACACTATTTTTGAAGCTTTAAACTTTATAAATAAATATAAAAATATATTTTACGGCTATTACAAAGATTTCCAGTATTGAGACTACATTTCTCGATATTATTTGCAGGTAGGCTCTAATTTGATTGTTTATAGCTTAGGCTCTATACAAACCACACCCTTATCATCTAAAGGCCTATCTATTAAAACTTTAAAAGAGATGGCAAGGACAAATGGAGGAATCGCGAAGCACTTGACATTTGGTTAGGATGTAGAGAAATTTACACTCATGTTCCCATGTAGGTACACCCTCCTAGAATTTTGGCTAATATAGGATCACCAGACGTCTTAGTTCTGAGCTGTAGAGACTGCATCAAGCCTTGAGAACCATAGCAAACTTAGACCTTATAGAATTGAACTAAAATGTTCAAAAAAACTAGTCTAAATAATAGTAGAGCTTAAGAACTTTTCAACAGTTTAAGAATCAACCGAATCTGACCTACCATTTAAAAGTTATAGCCTAAAGAAAATTGTTTCAAGAAATTATCAAAAGGTCCACCCAAGTGAATTTCCGCAGGATAGGCATCCCACTCCCGGTGATGCGCAGGCCCATGGGCTCAAGCATGTCATAATACCTCCTATAAGGCACGTTTTGGATCAGATAAGGTGTTCTTTTTTACAATTTTCCCCTTGTTAGATTGGGATAAGGTCATCTTTAGATTTTTTAACGATGTCCCTAGGCCTTGTCTATATAGACCCCTCAAAAAAAAAAGGAAAGGTTTCTATGCTTCTTCTACGTCATAGAAGTTCTATCCTCCCCCTTCCATCCAACCGTCCAATTTTGATCATGAGAGCCACTCACCGTTTAATCTTAGATTCAACTTCTCAAAGTATTTTATTTTTAGTTTATTTTATACAAATTGTATGAATATGAAATTTGGTGCGTGCCATCTTCTCTTTGAGGCACACCTATAAAAAAATATTAAAAATAATTTTTTGATAAAATATAATGACCAAAATACCCCTTGAAAACTTTCAGAGGTATATTGGTCATTTTATTTTATTGAAATTTTTTTTATACATTTTTCACTAGTGCGAGTTTAATAGAGAAATTGACGTCCAAATTTTGGTGTCAAAATAATTTATAGAAAAAAATTAAAAACAAAATAGTGTAGAGACAATTTCCAACAAATCAACCTCTTAAAAGAAGAGCACTTAAGCAAGCAGAACGTAGCAAAAGGCGGTCTACTGCGAACCTGAAACTTCGAATTTCGGTTTTCCTAAGGAAAGTTCTCTACTTTTCTCTATTTTGATTCATTATTTCCCTATTTTCTAATTTATTTCCTTAGCTTAGAAACTTTTAGTTAGAGTTTTAGCTTGTAGAGATCTATTAAGTGTGAAATTTACTGTTGGACTGCCAGTCTATCCAGAAAGGATCATATCTATCAGATTTGCATCAATTTTGAATCTATAATTCGATCAACTCCATATTTTCTACCGATCCATCAATTTTAACTTATTTTACATGAATTTGAGTTAATCTCATCAAAGACCTTTGCAGATTTGCGAGTAAACAACCCATAAGTATATGTTATTACAAGAATCTCTTTAATTTATTTTTTACTATGTATGTGTCCTTCTTTTTTATTTTTTCTCAACATGTCCCCACTTCATAACTTAAAAAGTTACAAAAGTGAGGAGGTCTCAAATGAGAGCACTTTAGACCTTCTAGTGCACTTAAGCATGCCAGTGAGTGCAAGGGACTCTAGGTGGAATGTTTGTTATTGCTCAAAAAACATCCGTACCGTATCAAATTATGATAATTATGTATATGTCCAAAATTTGGGGAATTCATGGAGTTCCACTCAGCATTTTTGAATTTACCACTCAGTCCGATATTTCCAATATCTAATGCGTTTATTTTTTGGAAAATTGTTTCATGCAATGGGGACCGCCTTTCTACATTGGCAGTCCATGAGGTATAAAATATCCATATTAAAGATAGATGAAAATAGGTGGTCTATATAAAAATAATTGAAACTGACCATTCAAATGTTTTTTTACTATAATTATTATTTTTTATTTTTTTTAAAAAAAAATTTCATATTCATTATCTCATTGGAAACTATAGAAATATGCACTTGTTTTTTGGTACAATATTTTCCTTTTTTTTATGTGTGTCCATATTAAGAAGGTGGTTCATTACATATATTACTTTCTTTAGTAATACATAGCTTTGTAACCCTATAAATTGGGGCTCACTGATAAAATATAATGAAGCACTAATCTTGTATAAGTTCCAAATAAC